AGTGTGAACAAACTCGTCCGATATCCTTGTTAGCTACACATTCTAAGCTGTTCGAAAAAGTGCTCTTACTAAGAATTAGACACTGGGCTGAAACAAATCGTTTAGTACCTTTAGAACAATCAGGGTTCCGTCCAAAATGTCTTCTACCTACTCGCGTTCTGTCAATATATCAGGAAGTGAAAAATAGCATGGCAGCTAATATTCCGACACTAGCACTCTATGTCGATTACCAAAAGGCTTATGATCGTGTATGGCATGCTGGTCTTCTGTGTAAATTAGATAGACTGGGTATGCCTCTCAACTTATTGAAAATGATTGATAGTTGGTTAAAAGATAGAAGAGCTTACGTAGAATATGGTGAAATAACTTCGAAAATATTTAAGATAAATATAGGACTTCCACAGGGCAGTAGTCTTAGTCCATACTTATTTATAGTATTTCATTCAGATCTAACAAATTACCTGGGAGCTCATTCATGTCATCTATTTGCAGATGATCTGTGTGTATTAATTAGACCTCCCATTATGAAAAAATTAGACCCGATGATTGAATACTTAGAAAAAGAAGGTACACGAATTTGTAAGCAGGTTCTTATATATTCAAAAAAGTGGAAACAACCGTTAAATGTTTCGAAAACTGTAGTACAACTTTTTCATACACAAGTAAAAAGACCGATAGTAAACGTAACGATAGACGGTAACAAAATCGAATTAGTCAGAGAATTCAAATACCTAGGTTTTACCTGGACGGATAAACTATCATTGAAACCAACAATCGAAAAAGCGATAGGAAATATTCAGAGATCGCTAGGAAAACTAAAATGGATGAAATCTGGTCGCGAAATGTCATGTAAAGCTCTCCGGCAATGTTTTTTCGCATTCACGTTCCCTCATTTCGCTTGGTTATTCCCACTTTTTCCACTCCTCTCAGAATCTCAACAAAATATAGTGCAACAAAAATTCCGTGTGGGACTTCGGCTGGTGCATCGCTGCCCTTTCGTTTCTGCTCAAAATCTGTTCAATGTCACCCCAGAACAACCCTTAGAATTTTATGTTAAAAAATATATTCAACGAAGACTAAAGACCATTTTCACAATTGATCTTGGTTCTTCATTGTTCTATGAAGATATTTTTATGTGGGACAACTTTTATAAAAGAAAAAACGATCATCTTGGGCATTTTTTTTGTTTACGTCGCGTTCGGCTATTGCAAGATCGACATGAGTCTTTCCTTTTAAAATGGTTGTCCTTTGTTGATGTGAATTAATGTCACAGAAAGACGCTTAAATGTAATGCTTATGCAATTTTCTTTTTCGTTTTTGCTCTCTTTCTTATTACTTTTTATCTCGCGTCGTTTCTCTTGGTTTGTTCTTCGTCTTTTTTCGAGTTGCTCGCTCTACTCACGAATCCTCGCTGCTACTCATCATCAGTACTTCTCTCACTATCGTCCTCTTCTCTTTCTTTTATTCCTGGTTTATTCTTTTCTTTTTCATTTATTTACTCTCTAAATATCCTCATATACAGAAGTTGGTACTCAGTATAACATATTGTTGGCACAAATTGTAACGCTTTGCTTTAATGATGCACTATTTCGCTTATACATCTATAATTCTCTCTTTTATTATGTAAGCACTTCCGAGTGTTACATTCACGAGCATAATAAAAAAAAAAGAAAAAAAAAAAGTGCATTCATATATGTCTCGATTAAATGAAAGTAAAATTTCATATCCACTTGAATACTGGTCTTTCTCGCATGAGATATTCGTACTCAATGTTCAATGCTATCGGTCGTTTGATGTCACAGACAGCTTCATCGAATCGTTTTTATCTTGACTTTCATTCGACTTTCTACTCTGTTAAGCACATGCAAGCATCAACCTAATAAAAACAATGATACCTTTATTTATTGTGATAATATTTATTTCGCAATAGTATCCAATTGTCAAGACTGCACAGCGGATAGTAATAAAAACTATCAATTATTGAAGTACTACAGTGCTGAAATTGTAAGACTAATTATTGTATTTTCATAAATAGATAAAATTATGCATGTTAAACTGCAGAAAAAAGTGCGTTTATGGCAGTTGATCCATCGAAATAGTTGAAGAATTTTGAAAGACAGCAACAAAATGAAAACATGGAGACAAAAAGAAAAAGATTCGTTGAAAATTCATTGCGATAAATTTTTAACTGTACTTCTATCTTTTTATTTTTTGATTTAATATGTATACCCTTCATTTTATTATGATTATTCTTTTAGTCTCTTGTTTATTTTTTACTATCTGCCTGGCTCAGATGAAACTAGTCATAATTGATAATGAAATGTCAATTAAAAGTAGTCATAACCGATAATTGTCTCTTCCTTTTCCGACTTACTTTGAAAAGTTTGATATAGTGACTCAATTATATTGACGTGTGACAAGAAAAGAGGAATTGAAGAAATGACGTGTGACAAGAAAAGAGGAATTGAATAAATGACGTGTGACAAGAAAAGAGGAATTGAAGAAATGACGTGTGACAAGAAAAGAGGAATTGAATAAATGACGTGTGACAAGAAAAGAGGAATTGAAGAAATGACGTTTGAAAAATTCAAATGTTGCATACTTCGTCAGTATTTATACCCGAAAATAAATACACTTTCAACCAAAGTCATCTGTTTATAATAAGTTTGATATAACTATCATACACATATTTATTTCAATCTTCTCTATCCCCGATCGAATTTGTAGTTTACAAAAATGCATATGTGCTACAAATATATCATCATCATATTGGCTTTTGCTAATTCATGTAAGTAAATATCGTACTAGACTAACTTTAGGTAGCGGAAAATGGAATTCGATCTACTCCACCATTAGATAACATCACTAACAGTTTTCACAAAGGATTGAGATAGAAAGTTTTCTCACTACTCAATTTTACACAGCCTGAAACTATAGTAACAAAGTACCTCGTACCATCGAAGTAGTAAACCCCTCCTCAGAATAGAAGGCCACCCCAGAACAAAAACTCACAAGGCGTAATAGAAGGTCATGGGATTTCAAAAATTTTTTTTTAGAAATTCAGTGGATTTTTATATTTTAGTACTTAAAATCTCGGTTTTTTAGTAAAAACCAAGGTTTTGTTGCTAAAATGACTTTTTTTGTAGTAAAAAAAAACTGGTTTTATGAAACTTGACTGCTAAAAGCGCCTTTTTGAATGCCAGAAAATGTTTCCAAAAACCCTTGGTTTTTTAGGTAAATCTTAGCAAAAAATAGTCCACAATAGAAGGCTACCTTTGCGGAAGCCAGGTGAATTTCCATAATAGAAGGCCATGGCTTTTTATTCTGGGGGGGGGGGGGTACCCAATATGTATGTCTATTTTTGTATTTCGTGAAGAGAAGCTCTTTTTAATAAACTTTTCTGCTCAAAACTCGAAAGATCATGATTTATAGTGAGTCAACAGCCGAATACTACGGTCATTTCTTATCCAAATAGTGGTGAATACGTACCGGCATTTTCATTTCTTAATGCTATGTACAAAGTTGTACTTAATGGAAATCAATCATCTAATCTTTTGACAATTGTTGAAGAATTGATTTATATTGGTAATGCATCTCGATGTCATTATCATACAAAAGAAGACGAAACAATTCGTGTACTTAATGGTACTCTTCAAGTTTATCTGGGTGGCTATCAATTTTGTGCACCAGCTGGTACGAGTTTTCACATTCCACGAAATATCATACAGTCGCATCGAAATCTTGGTTCAAAACCAATCCATGTAGAATTATTATTTTCGCCGTCGAATATAGAGAATTATTTGGGTCAAGTTACTCCTGTCTTTGCTGAACAACCGGTCAATACTACTCGAGCAGCTGAACTTGCACGTACATTTGGAGTGGTACATTTACCTGACATTCCATGGAAAGATCTCAATTGTGCATTTAATGATAGCATGTTGTTCATATCATCTGTTCATTTGATATTTTTCATTGTTTTACTTCATGTTTTTGCATCTGTATATAATAAATTTCAATGAAATTTTTAAAGTTAGAATATAAAGTGTTAGTGTTATTCCAGCATGTGTTTTCTTTCTTCTCCTTCTTACTAAGGGTTAGGTGTGGATGGGACTGTGGTGATGGGTGGAGCGAGGTGTGAATGTTAATCTTCTCTTGACTCGCACCCACACCCATACCCAACTACTCATTAGTTATCATGTTGAAAAATTGAAATTTTTATTTTATTTTAATAATAATTTCTCAATTCTAGATACATTTCCCTTTGTATTTCTTCATTTTCAGGCATTATTTGTATCTTATTAATTCTTTGAAACAGGAATCTAGTTTAATTTCTTTGACTTATATTTAATTGAACAATAAAAATATTGAAATGAGCAATAAAATAGTTGAAATGAGCAATAATCAAATTTAGCAATAAATATATTGAATGAGCAATATATATAATGAATATAAGCAATAATTATACTGAATGAGGAATAATCAGACAGAATGAGCAATAATTAATTTAAATAAAACATAAAATTTATATAAAAAGGGCAATAATAATTCGTTTATTTGCAACAATAAGTGTTTTCTCATCTTCATGAAATACTATATGTAATTTATACAAATGATTTAGTCGCAACGCGTAGCACACTATAATTCTGATTCTGAAAATGACATTGATATGCAACCTCAACCTTCTAGCAACACTGAAGCAGTTAAAAAGAAACAAGAAAAACATGCGAAAATGGATTCCATTACACACATACAATAATAACGATGACGTTATTAATAAAATTGGTCCAAAGAACGAAATCGTACTTTTATCAATTCAAAACTCTTCGAACATCAACCATCAATAACATTATCATATTGGACTGATGCATACAATTGGGTTAAGCTGAACAAAGACGTCATATCTATTTTCAATGGTGATACAACAATATATTATTTTGTCTGCTGATGAAAAAGTTACAATAACAGATAAAGAAATAAAATGATATGAAACTTGTAGATTTAACTCGTTTGACACGTACAAGTCCGTCTACTTTAATATATGGTGCGTATGTTTATCTAACAATGCTGAAAAATGGAAAGAAACAATCTGCACCTGTCCGTTATTCATGAAAAGTTATATATGCAAGCACATTATTGGTATGTCCATTAGATTAAAATATTGCAAACCTCCACCTGAGGCAAAAAATGTGTAAATTGGTACAAAAAGAAAAAGAGGCAGACCATCGAAAGCAAAAAAAAGCTTTATTGGTACAATAATCACTTATATATATTTCATTTTTCTTTTTTTCTTGTCAATTGTAAATAAAAATAATGTAGTTTTTCTCTTTTTTATTGCTCAAATATGAAATTAATATTGCTATATAATAAGCTATTTATTGCTTATTTAATATTATAAAATTGTTCAAATAAAGTTTTCTTATTGCTCAATAGTTACTGCTAAATCATATTTATCTTATTGTTCATTCCAATATTTTTATCGCTCAAATAAATACAAGCCAATTTCTTTTGATAGTTTTCGAGATTGTTATCAATTTTCGAGGTACTGTACAGAGACAACGAGAAAAAAAACATAAATAAAAAGCAATTGATTTCATTTCTAACTAAAATTGAGCGTTCGTTTCATATTAATCACATAAAACGATGGTAGGCGTCGATGCAAAAAGTACAAATATTATTTGATAAGAACTTCATATGTCCTGTATGTTCATTGATATTACGGGATCCAGTACAGTTGAGTAAATGTGATCATCGACAGTGTCAATCACGTGTCGATGCTCAAAATGAGTAAGTTTCATCAGTAATTTGAAGTATTATTCTTCATTATTCTTTTGAAAGGCTAACAATTAAATGTCCACAATGTCAATCTGAAACACCACGAATTGAGATAAGATATCTTTGCATCATTAAACAGAAATATATATTTGTTTTTCCAGATACGGCTTGATCGAGGTTTTAAAAATGATATGAAACTAATACCTATTCACTGTTCTTTCTGCGAATGGACTGATACAGTAGATAATTATCAAGTCATTTATTTTATGTTAATTCTATTTCTGTATCTTTTATTCTTTTCTTCAAAAGAAACATCTTGATGAATCTCATTCAAATCCAAAATAAAAATATTGTGACGAAGAATTCAACTCGGTTAACGAATGCAATGAACATAAAGTCTCTGAATGTCAGAAACTGATTGTCAATTGTATATTGAACAGCTTTAGTTGTAACGAGCAAGTAAAGACATTCTCTAGATGAAAGGAAACTATGAAAATTTTTGTTCTTAAAATCACCCGTGCCAAAATGGAAAAGCATTATTTAACTAAACAGCATCAAAACGCCATAACGAAAGCTGTTCGTCACATATTGTTCCAATTAAACGATAGACAAATAGATACTGATCTTTCTCGACTAACAACTGCAGGAAATTGTAATCGTACTATAGCTCAATTACAAGAGCTGTGTGAAATGCTTGATATCTTGTCAGGTGATATTGAAACATTGAACAAGGACCAAGACTGTCTAAGTAATGAATCATTTCGAATTCAGATAGCACTTCCAACATTGACAGAAGAATTATCTCAAGTTAAATTATCGATTGAAGAATCACATACTTTTTTTGGAAGGAGTGAAGCATAATGATGACATTTTCAATCAAGAATTAGCATCAATACAGGAAAAAATCAAAGATTTACGATACGTTTCATATGATGGAACATTGGTAAGGAAAATTACCAACTTTAAAGAGAAAATGAGTAAGTTTAACAACTACTATTATGGTGAACTGTAAGCAGCAGCCACGTGAAGGTTCTAGGATTGGGCGCGGGTGTAAGTGCGTCAAGAATTTTGGATGGGGATTCGCATGTCGAAAAATCGCCTGAAAACTACTAGGAAGGCACTGACCTTACAAATACGGAGGAGGGATAAAAATTCTCTGCAATAAGTGAAAAACTCATTTTCTTTCATCGTTTCATACGCTAGTTTCTGGAATGCCACGCAGCGACCACATTGTTTAACTTGTGAAAATCAACATTTTCTGACGACAAAATGGCTTTGTTAAAATTATCAATTAAGAATTTGTTATACAAGAACGTGCCGCGACAGGTGACAGCTTTTCGGAGCTGTATTAAATACAGAAGTTCACATAATGTCAAAGCTATTGACATAAGAAGTTAGTTTTACGAGAGAGAAGAGAGAAAATTTTCTATTTTATATATTCAGCGACCGAAAGCTGCTACGTTTTCAACCATTATTTATATTGAAATATGAACAAGAACTTGAAAATGTATTTCATATTGAAAGTCGAAATGCAATGGAGTCATTCATTGAAACATTGTCTGACATAAACTAATTCCTGAAGCAAAAAGTTTTCAAGAATGCAACAAAATAGGGTCTGGAAAGTCATCTTCTAAGATAATTTTTAATTATTGGGGAGGCGTGTACGCTCTTCGCTTCCACTTTTGTGGCCGTTGATTGTAAGAGAAGAATATTTGATCAAAAAAAAAAATAATCAAAGAATAATCTTTTATTTGGTTTGTATAACATTGACGAAAAAAGTTCTAAGATTGTAAAATCATAAGGGAAATTCAAATAGCAGATGACTAAATAATATAAGCAGAGTTTTCATGAAATTTATGTTTTCATCCAATCTAGAAGTGGATCACAAGTAGTTTTGTCGACAAACATAAAAAACTTTCTGAAAATATTTGAAATACAACTCTATCCACTCAGTGTGGATCCTGGTTCAGATTATCATAATAGTTTCTATCGACATAGTGATTTTCCTATCGAATCTGCTGAATAACAGTCAAAAAAGATTCAAAATCATGTCTCGAGAACAGTCTTGCTAGTATTCCTTTGACTGATCAGTGTTTACGGGTGTTTTTTTATACCATTCTGTAGTGCTTAAAAAGTGACGTTGAACTGTATGAAGTCTAGTTTGGTCACTCACGAGATGGAAAGACAAGAAAAAGCTGATTATTATAGACAGTTCGGTTCAATGTATTTGTGAAATTTACATTTCTTGATATGGCCAATGTCAACAATTATCGACTCATTTCATCGTTTATACTTGTTTCTGTTCTTCTTCACGTATATTTTTTTTTGTTTAATTTCTAGTTGATACACAGTCTGAAAGACAAACATCTATATATTCACCACCGTTCTATTTATCTCCAATTGTCTATAAAATGAGAGCTCGTGTTTATTTAAATGGAGATAGAAATGCTCGTCATGCACATATGTCACTCTTTTTTGTGCTTATGCGAAGTTCGAACGATCCCATTCTTAAATTTCCGTTCAACTATAAAGTCATTTTCTGTTTGTACGATCAGATACTTGCACAACGACATATTATCGATTCATTTCAGCCAGACATTAGATCGAGTAGTTTTCAGCGGCCCCGATCAGATATGAATATAGCCAGCGGTATACCAAAATTTTTCCCAGTAGCAATGATTCAACAATAAGGAAATCCGTATATACAAAATGACACAATGTACATCAAAATTTTGGTTGATTTTGGAGATATGCCCGAAACACTGCTGCCCTATGCTTTCAGTTTTACTATTTAAGTCACATATGACCTAAAGTATTTCTTGTTGTTTGATAATCATGCAATGTTTGTCGAACGTTCTCATTTGATAAAATCGTCTTTTTGTCAGATTACAAGAACTCTACTATTCTAGTGATTTTGTGGAATTTTTACAGTGTTACTGTATGTATACTATTTGTTCGGTTTTACTATAGGACAAAAATCGACTGCTACACGATACCTTAATACTTATTTTAGAAAGATTTCTTTCTATTGTTAATATTTAATGACGCATCATATTTGATTCAATAATACCTGGGTGTGGGTAGATTTCAATTTTAGTCTTCTTTCCATCTACACTCACACTCTTATTTATAGAAAAAAATAATACATAATCGAAAAACTTGTTCGGTTCTTTGAACAATTGAGAAATATATTTATTTTTTTTTTCATGATGTTGTTTAAATCATTCTTTTTTTGTTTTGCTTTATATATGAAAAGAAATTTAATTGAAAGAAATTTCGAACATTGCCATTAACTAATTAGAAGAATTAATCAATAGAGAAAAGTATGGCATAATCTGAAACAATCAATGTTTTCCCAAATTTAGACCGATCTCGTCAAGATTGACAATAATAATTTAATAGAAAAAATATAAAAAGAAATTTTCATGATAAAGCAATGAATTGTTTCAATTTCTTTCTTTATATACAAAACACGATCAACGGTTGTACTTCATGAGAAATTAAGCATATATTGGTAAGTTTCTATGGCAGGTCGTCAAATTAACTTTTGAAACAGGTACTGTTAATTTGTTCTCGAAAATTTGGGAATTTACTTTTGCTTTTAGGGATTCTGGTTAAGAAAAATAACGATGCTTTTATACAGTTTCACTAGATTTTCTTGAGTTCGCAGGAAATTGGTCTCGAAAGTACAAGCATAATGTCCGAAAATTGATTATTTAATCAGATTTCATGGATAGAAATTCTTCATCGAACTTTTTTAAAAGTATCATGAATTGCTTATAAATGGATATTCTGTAAGAAAAATACTAAACTCACGAATTTTGAATTATTTCGTATCGGGTAAATAGTGTCAATCGGTTACACGACTGTGTATAAATAAAATACCAATAACTTATTATATCTAGAACAAAGATCACTAACCGCCATCAGAGTTCATGGGTTCCACACTTCGCTCCATTATGGCGCAACACTATTAAATTTTTCTTTATAGAACATGTTAAGTTCCAATGAACAAGAACTAAATGCTTCAAATTTGCAAAACAACCGAAATTCGTTTTAATCGCATTTTATTTAGATTATAGATTACTCGTTTATTATGCTGGTGAAAAACTACAAATTGAATCATTTCATCAATCTAATTAAATGTCATAATCGACAAACTCAGATGAGTCGGCAGAAGACGATAAATCCTCATCATCATCCTCATCATTAAGAGAGGCACATTGTATGATAAATGAATATACGTTTAATTCTAAAGCATGATCTCTCAACCATATGTTCATACGACGATTGTAGACTGATCTGAACAAAAATAGTTTTAGATTTGATAGTTTTTCAAATTCACGAAGCAAAGATGGAAAATCATCTGGCCGATGGAAGTCACATTGTAATTGTTCAATATTCGAAAATATGTGGCAGACTTTGATTATTTCTTTCTGGTTGATTTGTGAAAAGGTTCGATCCTTAACAATATCTAGTTTTTTGATCATTTTGTTTAGTTTTTCGCATAATTTCTGATTTTTGAACGATTGTAACAAAATATCTCTAGAAATTGTCAATGATGATATATTTGGTGTCTCTCGTAATATTTGTAATAATACTGTTGGGGTTTTAATTTTGCAGGGCGATAAGATCTCAAGATGATTTAAGTTACATAAATGAACAATCATTTTAAGTGATTGTATGTGTTTAGTTTTTAGATAAGGATACGTATGATTGTTTTTATCATAGCCACTATTTAAACTTAAGGACTTGACATTTGGAAAGTAGTATTCACTGATTTCTGCTATAGCGTCCACATTTAATGTTAAACTAGTCACTTCCTCGAATAAGTTAGAATGGATTTTATACGGTGTATTACCATATCTCATAGCATATGATTCAATGGTGTAGCGATTTGATGGATAAGGCATAGTATAAATAAGTACATTGTGCTCCGATAAACTGTATTCTGTAAACCAATGATGTTGTTGATACCAAAAGTCACTCTGAAATTGTTGCAGCTTATGAACAATGTCCTGATTTTTAATGACAAGTGTAATCTCAAATTTAAACTTGAAAATATCTAAATGAGGTAATGCAAATTCAATCAATTGTTGCCAACGATTACCATCAATCATATGGTGATTGTTATACGCAAGTATTGTTAAACTTTCTAAATTTGGCGTTGATGCTAAGAGATTTTCCAGAATCTCAAATTTAAAAGTGAAGTCATAAATAATCAAACGTTTCAAATGCATAGTAGCATGCTCGTCGGCTTCTGAAATAAAAGCGGAATGGATTTTTTTGATACACAGACACTTTAATTGAGGTAGATATTTGAAAATTTGATACAGTTGTCGCAATGAACACGTAGATATCGTTAAACTAACAACTGATATAAATTGTTCAATAAAAATCGAGCCGAATTCTATTGTGGGCATCGATAATGATTGTATAGTAGACGTCTGTATTGCTTCGAATAGTAGATCAGTACTATCTGAGGGAGCTGTAAAGTTAAAGCGACACAGATTCAATAAGTGAGGTAACGTCCATATCAATCCCCATATGCTTTTTCGATCAATTCCATCCAAACTAAGTGCCTGAAGATTAGAAAATTGGTCGAGTGAAATATATGAAAAAAATGTTGATAATTGCTCATAACCATTTCTATTTAATAGACGTAATGAACAAATTTGACTTTTGATTTCTGAATCTAATGCTATTTTTTGACATAATTGATGAAACATGAATTTTTTCACATGTTCAAAATCGAGGCATAATAGAATATTCCGAATAAGTTTGTTATATCGATTATTTATAAAACCAAATGAATTTAAAATATCAATGCCATTGAGATATTCGAAACATTCGATAAGTAC